ATTTAGAAACTACTGCAGCAACAGTGCATAGTGCACAAGAAGATAATGGCAATTGCATACAGATCACTGAACGACCTTTTAACGTTTTTAATCACCAACTAGTATTTGAAAAAGGAAATAAAGACTCTAACGAACTTACTCACTACTTTAACAAAACTATTAACAAAATAATTTACAGTGACATGACTGACCGTTTAGCAAAAGATATAATTATAAAATTCATATGTGGACACAATTTTGTTATGTTCATTAATAATGACGAAGACTTTGCTATCTTTCAACGAGCCTATATGGATTTAATTAAACCAAACACTGGTACAAAATTAATGAAAACTTCAGTAATACTTCCCAACTTGTCCACATATGCAAACTTCCACGAAAAAATATTAGAAATACACGAAAAGACGATACACCAAGGCATTAAAAAGACGTATGACGATTTTAAAACTAAATATTATTTCCCAGACGCACAAAACTTGTTCAAAACATTATAAATAAATGCGAGGCCTGTAATTTATGCAAAGCAGAGCACAGAAAAATTGCACTCCCTTTTGAAAAGACTCCTGGAACTCAAAATATTCGTGAAAAATATGTTATTGACTATTATTTTATTGACCAAAGTAAATTTTGACATGTATTGACATTCATTCAAAATTCATTTCTATTATAGAAACAAAAACCACAGACTGGATTGAAAGTAAAAAAGCATTACTCAAAATTTGCTGTATGATAGGTAAGCCGAAAACTATTAAAATGGATCAAGATCCCGGCCTAGTATCGAAATGTTTACAAAACTGGCTACAGATAGAAAATATTAATATTGAAATCACTAGTAGTAAAAACGGTATAGCTGACATAGAAAGGGTTCATAAAACAATTAACGAAAAACTTAGAATCATAAATACACTCTCAGATGCTGAAGACAAATTAATGAATATAGAAAAAGCAACGAATGTCTACAATCACGAAATAACCCATGATGCCACTGGTAAAACTGGACGAAAAGCATTGGAAAGAAACTAATAGGGGTCATAAAGTAATAAAGCACATAAGTAAATTTAAAAAAGCTAAAGCGCAAAATCTCTCTAATCATTCCAGGGAATCTGACAATACTGACTCTGATTTTGAAAATGATCATGATAATGACGTGGACGAATGTAACATCGACAACAGCTCAACAAATTAGTATTACACCTATCACTTCAAATAACGGTTATTTACTTCTGAACACAGGGATTGTAAAAATACGTTTAAGTTAGGAACATCATATGATACAGATTAATCAAACAAAAATATTAGAAACATACCAGGACTTTATGAAATACGAAAACAAGTTTGATTACGTTCCAGATATTGGCTTAGCACTAAAACAACTAAAACATGAAATCAAGGGAATTATTTCTACACAAAGACAAAAACGAGGATTAATTAATATTGTAGGAGCAGTTCCTATAAATACTTATTTGGAACATTAACAGAAGACGATAAAAAAGAACTAAAAGATTAATTAGAACATTTACAAGATCAAGTAATTGAAAATAAAGATTTTAATGAAAAAGTTACAGTAATAAATAAACAATCCGAAGATATAAAAAGACTTGTGAAAGATGAAGAAGAAATGGATGCATTACATATTTTTAGATATTCATTAAACATTTTCCTTGAGTATATTGAAGATTTACAAATGGGATTACAATTAACAAGAATAGGAATATTCAATCCTAAAATATTGAAACATGAAGAGTTGGATGATATAGACGAAGAAAAACTTTTATCAATCAAAACTTCAGCTTGGATAAGTAGCCAGACTAAAGACACTTTTATTTTAGTTCATATACCAACTTCATTTAAGGAAACCCAAAAATATAGAATTATAAAATACCCAGATAATATAGGCCGACAAATTGACATATATGATAACTTTGAATATTTTGTTACTGATAAAAACATTGTTTTTTATTTAGAAAATACACCAAGTTTAAACCAAAAATTTATAATCACTGATCAATGTATCTCTCAAATTCTTACTAATCAACTAGCGAATTGTCAACACACGTCTATATCAGAAAATGAATCTATAAAGTATATTGAACCGAACATCATTATAACTTTTAATTAAAGCAAAACACAAATTAAACAAGATTGTGAAATATTCAACAAAACGATACAGGGAAACAACATAATACAACAGCAGCACCAGCAGCAGCGATGCAGCGGCAGCGACGCGACGATGGAGACAGAACGACAGCGGCAGCGTGAGAACGACAGCGGCAGCGCCAGAACGTCAGCGGCAGAAGAGCAACGGCAGCAACAAGCAAGCGAAAGACCGTTGACCGCCCGCTAGCTGCCTCAGCTCAACAGCCGCCGCCCCTACCACTGCGCTAGATAAAATGCAGCGCTCACATCCGGAGCGCAACAAGCGGACCAACCAAAACCGCTGCCGTCGGCTACGGTACTTCCGCGTCTGCCAACGGCATGCTGACGCCGGAGGACCGGAGTTGGTTAAGAGGCCAACCCACCAGTATTTAAGAGCTCACTTTTGTAACCACCGTAGTACTGTGTGGACCTAATATTAGACTATCACAATAAAATAATAACGTAATCCGAAGATAAAGTTGTTGCCTTTTTTGAGAACTGGAAAGAACAAGTGGGCAAGATGCAGCTGATGAACACCACCATAAGATAATATAGGGGAGCTTCGTACCCCCACCGGCCATGACAGGCCTTAACTGGCGCCCGAGCAGATTCCACTTTCTCGCGAAAGTGGGACCCAAATTTTTGCGGGTACCCCCCGACACAAAACAAAGAGAATAAAAATGTGTTAAGAAAAAAAGAAAAAGCAAGAAAACATAAAAAATTAAAAAAGCTACGGGTACCCTGTGAATAATTATTAAATATAAAAAATAAAAAATAAAAAAAAAAAAAAACCCAAAAATGGGAAAAAATTAAAATGAAACGAAAAACCCAAAAAAGGGTATAAAGTATTTAATACGGCGTTGTGTGTGTGAAGCGAAAAACCCAAAAAAGGGTAAAAAATTATTTAATACAGCGTTGTGTATGTGATAGTGCGCAAAAATGTGTGTAATACAACTACCCGCCGCGGTGAGGATGCTGCCTTTCGCAGCTGGCATTCCCCACGGGCGCAAAAAAAGTTGTAATAAAATAATAAAACAGTGAACCTGCCGCGGCGATATGTCCACGCACCTCTCAGTGTGGCGTATTCGCGGGCACAAAAAATTCTGTATAAAATAAAAGAAGCAATAACCCGCTGCGGCGTTAAGTCCACTTAAGTGGGTAGCTTAATCGCGAGCGCAAAAATTGCACTATAAAAAAAAGAGAGAAAAAGGCTTTGGCAACAAAAAATAATTATTTTAGTTTGAGAAAGGAGATAGCACTGGAAAATAATTGGGAACACTTTTTTTCCAATTCTTTTTTAGTGTTGTTTCGGGTTTCAAACTAGGAAAAAAGCCGAAGGTGATAATAAAATTAAAATAATAATAAAACAAAAAGTGGTGTGTGGCAATCTGCTGGAAAGGCTCACGAATGCGGAATGCATTCAAAAAGGGCTGCCCAGTGGATTGTGTGGCAACCGTACCTTAGTAGGCAAAACGCCAGAACGGACAAATACGGACCATCGCGCCCAGTACCCAATAACCGCACTAAGAAAAAACTCACACAAAGTATTAACGCACAACGCCCCAAGAAAAAAAATCTTACAAAACCATACGAATTTTTCAAAAAACAAAATACTAATAAAAAATTTAATTTCAGAACTCTTTAAGAACACCACAAGACTACAAGAAAACGGCCAAAAAACACACACAAATCAGAAAAAACCACAGAATCTTTGCGAAGTGAAAAAGAAACCAACGGGTGAGTGAAACGTTTAAATAAAACAATTTCCCCTGAATAAATAAAAAATATAAAAAAATAGTAAGGAGACAAACTGTTACCCGTTAGGCCCATCTGCATTTTTCTTTTTAAAAAATAAAATACACGGCCTGACCAAAGGAAATTCTTTTTAAAATACTTAGCAAAAAAATCAGGAAATAAAAAATGGAGGAAATGAAGGAAGTATTAAAACGCCTTGATGCCTCCATGACAATCTTGACTGCAGAGATGAAGGACGAGGCTAAGAAAGTAGGGAATAGAATAGGTACTTTCGAATCCGATTTTGGAAAACGTAACCCGGTGGCGGAAATACCGCTACCGCTAACACACCCACGCACTGAATACGAGCTTAAGGAATCATCAGTCATACCAGATTGTGTAAAAGAATTAGTAACATTTGAGGGAGACCCCGAGAAATACGTCTCTTGGCTCTTCAAGACGATAGAAGGGTCACTGTTAAGACAAGGTCGGGAAAAATTTTCCATAAGTCCCACTTGAGAAGTTAATTTATGGGCAATAAAAACACTCATTTTTCACGCTCACTAATAGCACCCCCGCCGTTAGCAATGGGCTGGTAACAGAATATCCCTGAAATTTTATAACTTTTAAATGTCACTTCAATAATAAAAGGGAAAAGTGTATTTATCGTTTCACAAGCTCAAAAATAATTACAAAATAACCACACCAAAATACCATCAAATGCTAACATAAAAAAAACATATAAAAAGAAAAAAAAGATAACAAAATTAATCTAAACATATAAAATAAAGGAAACCAAACTAAAACACAAACAAATTTAGACATATAAAAATAAGAGAAACACAATAAAAACACAAAACCAATCTAGACCCATAAGAAAAACACAGGAAAATTTTTTTACAACACTAACAGACTTAACACAAAATTCACAACAAAAACAAACTTAAACACAAAAAAACTAACAAACCTAAAAACAAAAAACACAAAAAAACCTTACAGAGAAACACACTGAACTAAAACAATATCAAACCTGAGCATATAAACTAAAATAAACTAAATTAAAAAACAAATAAGAGAACCTAAATTAAAGTAATGAAATTAAACAATATCGAATATAAAACTTTCAAAATAATATAAACTTAGCTTAATACCAAAAAATTAAAATCAAAAATTTAGAAACAACACAAACAACACCAACACGAAATATCTAGACTAAGAACTATTAATCACCTAACTATAAGAATTTATTACCCTTTTTTTTCGGCACTACAAGCGTGTCCACGCTCTACGTAGCGACCGCACTTCATATTTTCAAATAAGACGCACCAGTTGTCCCCTTACAACAGGGTACCGTCTGGCGAACCAACGGTGTTTTTAAGCTGGCCCATATTATCGATCTAGGCCGCATTAAGCAAGTCATCGACCAAACAACCAACGAAGCTACGATAATCACCGACCAACGGATCAATGCTTTGGTCTTCCACTACCTGCAACACGCATCAGAGGGCATGGATAGCACACCAGCACGGAGGCCACGATCAATCGGCTGGCTAGGATCAGCCTGGAAATGGGTAGCAGGGTCACCTGATAGGTCTGACTGGAACGCGATCTTAAAAACAGAAGACGACATAACCAGGAACAATAACCAGCAGATCCGGATAAATACCAAACTCTTTGACTCGACACACGAATCACTCCAAAGATTAAACGACGTCATCGGAAGAGTCAACGCAATAGACGGCGATTTCCATGTCACAACCGCCGTACTCCACAAGGCAATAATAATAGCGGACCAAGTCAGTGAAATACTAAGAGCCTGCCAACTGGCAAAGACTGACGTGGTGAACACGAATCTATTGGACCACGAGGAAATAGACGAAATTTTGACAGAGGTAGAAAGCCTTCCTTATCAGAACGTGGTCGAAGCCGTTGAATTCTCTCGACCAACAATCCTCACGAATGGAACTACATTATTATATATCTTGAATAATTTACCCAACGGTATCCGACGGCAAACAGGTTGTGCTGAAGTACAACAAACTGGCCATGAATAAGGTGGAAACATACGCCCTTCTTGGGAATTGCGTATCCATCGGCAATACAACTGTCTGCCGAGAAAAAGACCTATACAAACTGGAGGAGGATAGCTGTATTCCAAGACTTCTTAAAGGAGGTCAAGCTGCATGCGACTATCTTAGGACAAACCAACAAACGGTGGAACTCATCGATGACGGGACAATCTTCCTGACGAACTTCAATGGCACAATATCCACTCCAACAAAAGAACACCACCTGGAAGGCTCTTACGTCGTACAATTTGACAACGAAACGGTCACAATCGGTGACCGGAATTTCAGCAGTTATTCGTCAACGCACTTGATGGCAATGCCAGCGGTCTTGACTCAAATAACGACAACGGGTTACGAACTATCACTGAAATACATGCATGACTTCAGCGTGGAGAACCTGAAAAAATTATCAACTATGTCTAATAAAATTTTAATATCCTTCTCCGCAGAAATAATTATAGCAGTATCCATCATAATAGCAATCTACCTTGTTTGGAGGAAGATAACATCAACCAAAGGGATCCCAAGGCTGCGACCCCCACCTGCGAACCTCGAACCGACAAAGGCTTAAGGATCTGTGGGACACAGATCTTGTGGTGGGGAGGAGTTAACACCGGCTAGCGCCCCCTTCCCTTCACCCCCTCTCGACATCCACGATACCCGACGACGACCCATCTCATTCAACCCCTCGGCCACCCACATCGTACACATTCAATTCGAGTGGCCACACAGCGACAACATTACGCTCAAGTGGTCACATGAAGACGACACCAACTCAAGTGGCTGCAATGACCCGGCCGCTGGGCCACAAGAGCTACAGCGGCAGCACCAGCAATAGCGACAGCGGCAGCACCAGCAATAGCGACAGCGGCAGCACCAGCAATAGCGACAGCAGCAGCACCAGCAGCAGCGATGCAGCGGCAGCGACGCGACGAGGGAGACAGAACGACAGCGGCAGCGTGAGAACGACAGCGGCAGCGCCAGAACGTCAGCGGCAGAAGAGCAACGGCAGCAACAAGCAAGCGAAAGACCGTTGACCGCCCGCTAGCTGCCTCAGCTCAACAGCCGCCGCCCCTACCACTGCGCTAGATAAAATGCAGCGCTCACATCCGGAGCGCAACAAGCGGACCAACCAAAACCGCTGCCGTCGGCTACGGTACTTCCGCGTCTGCCAACGGCATGCTGACGCCGGAGGACCGGAGTTGGTTAAGAGGCCAACCCACCAGTATTTAAGAGCTCACTTTTGTAACCACCGTAGTACTGTGTGGACCTAATATTAGACTATCACAATAAAATTATAACGTAATCCGAAGATAAAGTTGTTGCCTTTTTTGAGAACTGGAAAGAACAAGTGAGCAAGATGCAGCTGATGAACACCACCATAAGGTAATATAGGGGAGCTTCGTACCCCCCCCGGCCATGACAGGCCTTAACTTATATAATATATCAATAATATTGATATATTATAACATTTTCATATATATGAATGTTATTTAGTATATGAATTCACAAAATCATATTAATATTATATGTTCTGAGAAATATCCATATATTTGGTTGCCAGCCAATAATCTATTAGAATACTATAAGCAATCCATTGTATGGATGTTCTCAATTTACCATATATAATATAGATATATTTCTCAATATCCATATAAATTAAATATATATGGATATACATTTGGTTGCCAGCCAATTATCTATTAGAGTACTATATAAAGCAACCCATTGTATAGATATTTTCAATTTACCCAAATGAATATAGATATATTTCTTAATATTAAATATATTAAATTTCACTTCATTTCCTTTCATATTCATTTCATTTTTTAATTCGAAACTTTTAGTAAATCTTGTTACTTTGACATTTTTTATCTGCGTCACAAAGTAGATGACGATTTCATTTGGCAACCAGAAGGGACTTGTAGTTTTTAGACTCAAATTTTTCCTATGGAACATTTTTTTTTATATATTTGTATATATTTATAATATATTTATAATTATATTATTTCATAAGCCCATAATTTGAGACTTGTAGTAAATATCGTTACTTTGGTAGATTTTTATTTTATCTGCGTCCCTAAAGTACATGGCGATTTATTTGGCTAACATAAGTGACTTGTAGTTTTTAGGCTCGTATTTATCATATTAAAAGCCTTTTTAGTTTGTATGCAATTTTTTGTTTTAGTTTTTCTTCAAATTTTTTAATTGTTTAATTTGCCGCCTTTAATAAGGGATTTGTAGTAAGACTCTTTTAATTTGGGATTTTCTTATATGCGTCACTAAGTAGATGACGATTCATTTGGCTACCAAATAAGCCTTGTAGTTTTTAGATTCATATTTTTCATATTAAAATATTTTTATTTATGATTCTTTCTTCTTATTTAATATGCATAGATATCATTTCATTTGCCTTTAATAAGAGACATACGTTTTGCTATCAAGCAAGACTTAATATATTTTGACAATTTATATCTGCGTCACTAAATAGATGACGATTCATTTGGCTACTTTATGTGATTTATAGTCCTAAGATATATAATATCTAAACTCTTACTTGGAACTTCAGCACTCGGCATTTGTTTTCACATTCGCGTCACTATTAAGATGACGATGCATTTGGCTACCGTAAGTGACTTTTAGTTTTTAGGCTCGTATTTTTCATATCAAAAGTCTTTTTAATATGTATGCAATTTTTCGTTTTAGTTTTACTTCAAATTGTATATATATATTTAGAATAAATATATATACCGTTTAATTTGCCGCCTTTAATAAGGGACTTGTAGTAAGACTCTTTTAATTTTACATTTTTTTATATGCGTCACTAAGTAGATGACGATTCATTTGGCTATATGAAATATGTATGCAATTTTTCGTTTTAGTTTTTCTTCAAATTGTATATATATATTTAGAATAAATATATATACCGTTTAATTTGCCGCCTTTAATAAGGGACTTGTAGTAAGACTCTTTTAATTTTACATTTTTTTATATGCGTCACTAAGTAGATGACGATTCATTTGGCTACCAAAAAAGACTAGTGTAGTTTTTAGATTCATATTTTTCATATTAAAATATTTTTATTTATATGCTCTTATAATTCTTTATTATTATTTAATATGCATAGATATCATTTCATTTGCCCTTAATAAGAGACATAAGTTTTGCTATCAAGCAAGACTTATTATATTTTGACAATTTATATCTGCGTCACGGTTCATTTGGCAACTGTATGTGACTTATACTCTTAAGATATATAATATCACACATTCGCTTCACTATTAAGATGACGATGCATTTGGCTACCTGCTTAATTAGGTTATATCTAATCATATCATATATAACCTCCTCCTCCTAATAAAAAATATATAAATAATATATAACAACAAAAACTATTAAACATATATGATGATAATTTAAATTGATTATATTATATATATATATATTTATTATCGAATCATCAAGCAAAGGATAAGCTTCAGTGGATCGCAGTATGGCAGCTGCTCAACCACTTACAACACCTTGCCTGTTACAAAAGTCGTTTACAATTGATTCTAGGCTTTGTCATTGTATTAAATAATGTTTTTATATGTAACTAGCGCGGCATCAGGTGATCGAAGATCCTCCCAATTTACTATGTTACAAATTACATTGGCATCACATCCATTGTCGTTCATAAAATAAATTATAACTTTAAATGGTTTAGAAAGCCATACAATGCAAATTGCCCCTTATTTATAATTGCAGTCCAGCACGGATACGATCTTAGAGGCGTTCAGGCATAATCCAACGGACGTAGCGTCATACCACTGTTCGCTCGAACAAGTATTGGCCATTGGTCCGTACCTGCGGTTCCTCTCGTACTACGCAGGAATGCTGTCGCAACAACGTTTTGTCATTAGTAGGGTAAAACTAACCTGTCTCACGACGGTCTAAACCCAGCTCACGTTCCCTTGCATGGGTGAACAATCCAACGCTTGGTGAATTTTGCTTCACAATGATAGGAAGAGCCGACATCAAAGGATCAAAAAGCGACGTCGCTATGAACGCTTGGCCGCCACAAGCCAGTTATCCCTATGGTAACTTTTCTGACACCTCTTGTTAAAAACTCTTTAAACCAAAAGGATCGATAGGCCGAGCTTTTGCTGTCCCTGTGTGTACTGAACACCGAGATCAAGTCAGCTTTCGCCCTTTTGCTCTATGTGTGGTTTCTGTCCGCACTGAGCTGGCCTTGGGACACCTCCGTTATTATTTGAGAGATGTACCGCCCCAGTCAAACTCCCTACCTGGCAATGTCCTTGAATTGGATCATACCTGAGTAATTGGAGTTATACCAAATTTTCAAATCAAAAATACATAAATGCACTCCTTTTATTAAAGAATTTGTTTGCGATTATAAAAACTCGTGATACTTTGATCAAGAAGCTTGCATCAAAACCCAATACCATAAGATATAATAAATATATCCGTATAATGGCTAGGAAATGATACACGTTCCATTTAATCAAGTAAGTGAGGAAACAATAAGAGTAGTGGTATTTCATTGGCGATACCAAACCGAGGTCTAATATGTCCCACTTATTCTACACCTCTTAGGTCTCCTTACACTGCCAGATTAGAGTCAAGCTGAAAAGGGTCTTCTTTCCCCGCTAATTATTCCAAGCCCGTTCCCTTGGCTGTGGTTTCGCTAGATAGTAGATAGGGACAGGTGTAAATCAGATCTCTCCGACACTTATTTTTACGTGGCGCACGGCACTCTAATATACCCACAAGTTAATACATCATGCACCCACAAGTGAGTACATAACACACCCGCAAGTGAGGATATAGTGCATGTGTCTAGATTAAGCACCTGACGAACGGCCCGATCTAGAAGCTATAGCTATGTAGATAGCAACTACCCCGGTGTCAATATGAGTGCTTGCTTGCCGGGCAAACACTCCCCCTTGCTGAGGGGCGAGATCCATCTAAAATCTCTGCTGCTCT